ATAGCATTCAGGGGTGGAAATCTTATTACAACTGATGATCTGAAAGCAGTCTCTGGCAATTATTCAAAATCTGATGAGGATAAATGCTTATCCAAATTTGTGATTGATTCGTACTTACAGCTTCTTGCTTCTGTACGTGAGAATGTCATTGTTATCAAGTGGGAGATTTTTGAAAAGGCTGCTGAAAAGAAGCTACAATCCCGGACAAAACTGTTGAGACATTTCAAAATAGGTTGAATTTCGATGATATTTCTGCGTATATCTGTGGAAATCTCTTCCCTTTCCCCCTCAAATCAATGTTGAAAGGACTGAACAATCATGCACACACTTCTAGCATAACGTCACAAACACAACATTGCTTGGTGGGGGGAGGGGAGGATCAAAATCAGTGATTTTTTAGAGACATGAGAAATGGGATATTTTGCAGTGAAAAAATGCCAGTGTCTCAACTAGTTTTGTCCGGGATTGTAGCTTCTGATTGTTTGAAGAAGAATGTATTTGATCAGAACTACATACTTACAATGTGCAATAAAGTTAAAGGCACTCACTGGTTCTTGTTGTGTGTCCTCCCTAAGATGCAAAGTATTGTAGTCCTTGACAGTGCAGCTGGCGACTTCATGAAGCCCAACCATAAGAGAGCTATATCAAAAATGTGGTGAGCACTACTTGAAGTGAATTCAAATCTAAATGCTGATGACTGGCAGTTCTTTGTGAATGTTCCTGATGATATCCAACAAGTCACTACTTATGATTGTGGAGTATATGTGTGTATGTATGCTAGATCACTCTTGCTTGGCTGTCTCCTATTCCAGAATGATAACATGTGGGATGTTAGAAAATCAATCATCCACGACCTTCACTTCCAAAATGTCAGCCTAGTTCCACCACAGGGCATAGAAGTTGGGTCATACTATGCAGTTGACTACGTAAACCACTTCTACTATGGCCAGATTATTCTGAAACAAGAGGACTTTGTAAACGTAAAGTTCCTGCATGCTAACAGTGCTACCTACCTTCAACTGGCCAAGACAAGATGACGTTGAAAAGGTCCATATAAGCTGTGTGTTTTATGTCCCATTCCACATTCAAGGCAATGGCCCTTTCACTGTTCCTGTACACAGTGAAGGTTGCAAAGTTCATAAGTTCATGAAAAGGGTCAATTAGCAAYATTTTAGTAATGTATTTGCTCATCAAACAAAAAGATTTCCGTGACTTTGGAACCTTCATTCTGGGCATGCGAACAATTTCGTATGTATCTGTTAGGGATTGAGTCTAGGCTAGTTACAGATCATAAGCCTTTAACTTACATTTAAAAAAAATGCTAATTCAAAGTCTACACCCAGGTTAGAGAGGTGGAGTTTAAGACTAGAACCGTATAATTTTCAGATAGTATACCAACCAGGCGAGAGTAACATAGCAGACCCTATGTCAAGAGTAGTTTGCACTAGCAGTAGTGTCAGCAAAGATGACACAGATGATACTGCAGAGTATATTTGTATGGTAGCGAAAGAGACAGTGCCAGCCAGAAGCCATGTCAGGTTTCCCATAAAAATAGGCAGAAACTAAGCTTAAATCAGTGTAGTTCAAATTTCACAAAGCCGTTACGTCGCTTGCTACGGATATTTTCACATATCAAGATAAAGAACCCTCTTCGATGTAAGGTACGAATATCTGCAGTCTTTACACTTATACCTAGGATAGATTTAGGACAAATCTATGTTAATAATATCTTGTCGTAATATTTTAGAGTTTAGATTATCTATATATTTGTTGCATTCGCGCTTATATGTTGTCTTCTTTATTGTCTTCTTTATGTGACTATATTAACAACTCACGTCTGACTTTGTCCCATTGTCATCCCAGAATATCGCTAATCTTCCTTCTGATCCTATCCCAATTCAGCTTCTTGTTACTCCTGCTGAAGTGTGCGCTGCCCTTAGTTCTATCAAGGTCATGGTTAACAATCTTATTTCTGATTGGAGAACATACATAAGGACATGCTTGCAATTCGAGAAATAATCAAGTGCATATCATTATCCTTTTGTTCAGCATGAGTTGCGCTAAAACACAATTGTGTTGAAAGATCTGAAACGTTCGTCCAAAACTTTGTTGATCTTGGCGAAACAATATCCTCTTTTTGTTACGACACGGAATTTATGAAGGCTGTAATATAAAGTCCACTCTTTATATGATGTTTCATTTCAAACGCTATTGAACACCACAAAATTCTGTTTTAAAGAAAATAGTATAAAGATATCAACATGGAAGACCTTAAGGACTCTTTCCAGAAGATCAACGCCATGTCCAAGTTTGAACTTCATATAGAACGTCAACAACTCTTCCATTTAATTGATGGATATCTCTTCTCGCCGATGTCCGAATGGCCATCATGCATGAAAAGATTGTTTTGGATGAAACCTGTTTCATACGTGGCAATGTTCGAGCTCTTCTTGTTCCTTTATGGCAATGGATGTCCTTTAGATGTTATTCACGATCGGATTCTGTCCTCACTTTACTGGGCATCCCCCGATGGTGGGATACCTCAAGGAACCAAACTGGGTCCCATCCTCTTTGCGGTCATGGTTAACGATCTTATTTCTGATTGGAGTCCTCGCGCCAAGTTTGTGGATGACCTGACGGCTTTAGAAATTATTCCAAGAAACTCACCATCCGTTATGGAATATATCGTTTCTTATTGAATCTTTTTCAAGTACAAACAACATGGAGCTTAACATGGAGCTTAAAAGAAGTGTAAAGAAATGTCAATTGACTTCTTACATTACAACAGTTGTGTATGGCAACCCATCACTATCGCGGGTATGCATATTGAATCTGTCAAGTCTTTCAAGTTACTGGGGGTATATATTTCATCTGACTTAACATGGTCTACCCACTGCGATTATATCATCAATAAAGCCAACAGGCACCTCTATGCTTTGAGGAAACTTAACAAAAGTGGTGTTCCCCCAGCTGATATCATCYAAGTTTATTGCTCACTGAGAAGATCTACTCTAGAATATGCASCACCGATCTTTRCAAATCTRCCCAAGTACGTTTCASATGACATTGAACGTGTCCAAAGATGGGCCCTGAAAATCATTTTTTATCCATTTATGTCGTATAGCAAGGCGCTCGATCTATCAGGCTTGATGTCCCTTGAAGAGCGTGGGGAGGCCTCTTGTGTAAAGTTTATAGAGAACATCAAACAGAACAATCCTTTATACCCATTAATTAGCAATCAAATCATTAAGCCATCTCATAATTACAACCTTAGATCATGTGGGAATAAGTACAATGTAACCAAGTCAACTAATCGTTTTGGTCAATTCGTGACCAGCAAATTTGCAGTAAATATGTGTTGAATTGTTAACTTGTTATATTGTCACTTATAATTGCCCACTTACCTGTCATTCAGTTATTACTTCGAAGGGTATGATTTAATATATTTATTATTATTATTATTATTATTATTATTATTATTATTATTATTATTATTATTATTATTATTATTATTTTGTTTATTAAACTTTGACTTGTTTTCAAGTGAAACTGCGGAATGAAATCTAAGCAATTCCCCAGTTATTACATAGACTGGTTATTTGTGCTTGTAGGGTGCTTTCACGATTTCGCAATTCTGTCCTATAATCCATTTTTGGCATTTTCAAATAACATTCATACTATCTGTTATTTCTACATTATTTAGCTTATTTACAAGTTCTTTGTGGTACCTAGAGAGGAAATCAAACACTAAGTTGACTTGTGTGATATTGTAGTCA